CAGGAGAGGGGAAGGAGTGCCAGGTGGGGGCCCCACTGTCCCCAGGCAGCCAGGTCTCCTTCATTCGGGAGTGGCCCTGTTGCTCCCCCTTCCTGCCCAGGGCCTCAGAGGGAAGCGCTTGGGCTTGAAATCAGATCTGCCAGGCCTCGTTTGGTTTCACTTTGCTTCTCCTGAGATCGGGCTGCTCAGCTGAGGAGTGCGGCGTGAAAGGACACTCTGGGGTCTCCAGAGGGAGCTGGGTGACCTGGACTCACTCCAGGGCAGGCCGGCACATCTGCCATCTTGGTCCTGCCTGAGCATGCAGTGTTCTGGTACAAGTATGGACCTGGGGCCAGACTCCCCGGGTTGTGTGAGCTGGCTCGGCCAGACCGAGCAAGCTCCTTGTGCCTCAGTTTCCTCGTTAGCTTTCAAAGCAATCGACGACATTACACACGTCCTGTGTTATTGTGAGGATTAAATAAGCTAATACAGGTAAGCCCTCAGCACAACGATGCAGGAGGAAGGAGCGCTCTTGCACGTCTGTTATGAAGATGACGTTGGGACGTGTTCCCCGCCTCGGCGGTGCCCTATGTCTATACTTTGAAAGGTAAGAGGAGAAGTCCAGCATCCTCAGTGACACTCTGGCCACTGTCACTCCCCTAAGTTCAAAGAGGACACATTATTAACTCGAGATACACCTCCAGTATCTCCTGAGGACACCTAATCCAAAGGCTCCAGGGCTGATCCCTTTCAAAGTCCTTGGGGGTCCCCAGGGTGAACTGCTGCAGGTGGAGGGGTGCTCCTAGCTTCTGAAGCCCCTGTGCAGCTTGTAGTCCCCAGTGGCAGGGGGAAAGCAGCCTGAGACTTGGTTTCTTCCCCCCAATGTCCCTTCTCTCCCCTTTTCAGCTTTAATAATGCAGATGGAGGAGGCTGGCTTCTAGCAAACAGGAGTCAAGCTCTTTTCAATTTCGGTTTGAATCTGGTGGATGAGATGGAGGCGGGGAGAGAGAAACTCTACTTCCATTCTTCCATAACTAAAGACCCCGGGTGCTACCAGCGAACAACAGTACACAAAGCCTCAGCACGACCAGCCCCCAGTGAAATACAGCCTGGTCCTTTGGGCCTAACCAGATTCCCGCTAGAGGAGCCCATAAATCGTACTGCCTGACCTAAGGGGCTTCCTTTGTGCCCTCTGCCTCTCTACGCCCATGATTTGATTGAGCCTTAAACCCAATGGGGGACGAGGGGAACGCCAGACCCCTTCTGATGCTTCAGGGACCAGAAAAGCATTCCGAGGAACGGAAAAGGGTTGCACCGAGTAGGAATTTGAAGCAGAAAGAGGGGCAGGGAACAGAAGGTGAAACAGCCTGGCCTCATTGTCACACTGGGGAGCTCTGAAGCTGGGGCCTGCAGACCAAGTTCACTGACCATGGGGGCTGCATGGACCCAGGTATGAGAACCCGAACTCAAACTCTCCCGGGGGGCTGTCCCAGGTGTCCCCACCTGCCACCCCAACGGCCAGGGGAGACGGTGGTGGCTTGAGCAGCCCTGGCTGAGCACAGAGATGCTGTCCCTGAGTACATAGCTAGGGATCTCCCCTGCCTGACACTACTGCTTTTCAGATGCCCTGAGCCCCTGGGATGAAGGAATGGGGGGGTGGCGGGGGTGGCGGGCAGTGCCAGCCGTGCGGAGCAGTTCTTACAGGCTGGGTAAGAATCTAAGCTTTCCTTCATGAATAAGCCCAAACCGCCCCCATCGACCCAAAGGGGAGGTCCTTCCTCCTCTCGGGAGGCTAAGTGAAGACCAACGGTGCCCCTCTCCCTGGCAAAGGACGGCTGAGGATACCAGCACGGCCACCCTGGCACGGAGCCCCGCGCTACAAGCTGGCAGTGCCTAGGGGAGACTCCGATGGACGTTACTGGAGGGGGCCCAAGGCTCCGCCAGAGGCGTATTTTAAGCTGGGGCTTCAGGGACGCGGTGA